AAGCTGTATTCTGTAAACAGAGAGAACACATTCCTGATGGACTTCTCTTCCCTGTTCCATTTTGGGTAACTTCTGTCTTCAGGACTCAGCGATCAATTCCTATGCTACCTCTAGATTTATTTTGTGTATGATCACTATATGGAGACATACACCCAAGTAACATGTCATGTTCTGAGCAAGTTACGTGGATTTCTGCATCACATGGGGCTACCAACGCATTTCTTCTTGGAACAACTGGAAAGAATTCAGTGAAAGCCAGAATGCAGTTGTTAAGCTGGTGGCCGTGGTATTGCCACTGGTATTGGTACTTTGGTGAGAACTATATGCTGCACATATGAAATATTTCGCTTGTAAAGGAGGGTTTCTTTCCTAAGTACACTTAATTCTATGTGGGCTTGGCCTTATACTCCTTTGGCACCAAACTATAACTACTATGGATGTCACTTGCTCTATTAGCCTACAGGATTAGTCCCAATGTGTTTAATTATCACCCCTGCTTATGTATAATATTAATTGTGCCAGTAAATTAAATCAGATATGTCACATCATTTGAGATTAAAAAAGGGATTAGTCTAACACTTACGCATGAGCTCTGATGCTGAAAAACATGCATGACTAGAAATATCTCTGCTAAGTCTTCCTTTACTGAAGATAAAATGACTGAAGATGTTCGAATACCAGCTACCTTTTATATTTAGACTCATAAGATCCTAGGTGGATTACTCAGATTTAGATGCTGTTGCAACTAAGCATGAGTATCAGTTTACTAACAAAAAAGCTTTGTTTACTAAACAAAACATTTCTTGAGCTGTTTGAGCAATGCACACTTTTTTTTTTCTGGGTAGATGTCTTTCACTATGTACCAGTAAAATAATTAGGACAGTGTCAATTACTGACATTTAAAGAAACAGGTTGAAAAGCAGAATAAATTGTTTCATCTACTTCTTTATAAACTAATCGTTTAAGGACTTAAGCATATTAAGATGTAAGGCAATATAATTTGTCAATCCTACATAGGCCAGTTTTCAATAAATGAACCTCATTTAAACATTTTTCTCTAAATTGCATAAAAACTGAAGTGGAAACAGCTCAGGACTTCCCAATAACATAATTAAAATGGAATTTTGCCATTCCAGTGGTGGAAGCCTTCGCTTAGAATGTTTCTAGCTCCATGAGCTCAGAAAAGAGCTATGGAGAGCTTTTTCTGTGGAGAGCATCTGTTCTTGTTACTGTGCTGCTAAACTTTAGAAAGTGACAGAAACAACCCTAAGGTCTTTCCACAGCTTTACTGCAGCTAAGTCAATAGGGGTGCTATGGATGTTCTACTGCTGCCTATGTATAGCCTTAGCAAACTGCACAGTTTCTTTACATAAACCAAGTCCTCTGAAGATGTTTTTGTGCATTGCATTGAAACTTAGCTTATTAGCTACAAATACATGTGGCAGTGATGGGTAATGCAGATGATGCAGCAGCTTTCTGCTATGTGCTACACTACTTGACACTAGAAAAGGAGGTATGAAACTTATGTTTTCTTCAGTGTCTTAACCCCACATCTATAGCAGCATAAACCACAGAAGCTCTATTTCCTATTCTTCTTTTCACTGCAAAGAAGTCATTCTTACTGATTTGAAGGCTTTAGGCTTTGACATCTTGAATGTCTGAGATGGCTATGTTTTGAGTAAAGAAGAAACTATTTGGGTCCAGTGCAATAAACATGGAATTGAAAATGAAATTGTCTTACTTTGGCCTATTAAGGGTGGATTTGTAACTGGTACCCTTTCTATAAAACCCAATTTGTAATAATTTTTAATATTGATTTGGTACTACACGTGGATATAGTAGCAGTAATTAAGTGTTATGGGGCTTTAATACAGCTAGAATATCTTCAAAAGAGGCTAGTGAATATTACAATATTACTCTCATCTCAATCCATTTAACAAATTGCTAAGGGGAATCCACTATATAATTACAGTAATTGGAGGAAGTAAGTGGGGAATTTTTGAGCCTACTGTACCATGGAGAAAGGATAAAATGTCAAACACCTTCAACCATATTTTTAGCAGACATAAATGCCATAATTCCCCCTGCCCCCCCATAACAGAGTGATGGACTCAATTCTCCTAGGACCTTACATTTTCAATTGCTATAAGCTTAGAGCTGCTTCTTTCTAGGGATTTGCAAAACGGATTTGAGTATCAGTAACATAACCTACTTCTCTTTTATATCTTCTTGCTTATATTTCAGGGAAGTGATTACACCTATTTCTCATATAGAATTATAATTAAGTAGTATTACATATTTTTTCTAAAACAATGTGGCCATCCTAATACAGTACCATTGGTTACTTTAATATGCAGATCAATGCTTTTTACTCTAATTCTGATTTCAGAGCTGATTGAAATGAAGGTTTGATATATAAGGTATTCATTGTTTCACACCATTTGTTTATATAGAATACTAATACATGGTTCCACATGAGGCTGGCTCTGAAGCTAGAAGAATCTTTAAAGTTCAGAACTAAGTGTATCAAATAATTTAAAATCTAAACTTTTAAACAAAAATAAAAACACTTTAATTTCTTTCCTTAGGAGACTACCACTTCCACTTTCAAACTGTGGTATTTCCAGTGGCCGCTCTTCATAGTGTCACTCAACAAGAGAAGTTAAGTGATGCCACAGATTTTTGGATCCCTAGTGATACAAACCGGAATGCCATTTAGTAAATTTTAAAATCAACTCCTAACATAAGCACACACATTACTGAATAGTTTATATGAAAAATGGACTATAAGTAGAATTTCTTATCAGAAGTACTAGAGCTCCCTTAGAAATGCTATAAATGCTTCCCTATATCAGAACACACAGAGCCAACCTTATACAACAAGATGGTTGCATATGATAACTATAAAGTAATTTATATTGGAGGCTAATTCACTCAAAAAATTATTAAAAGATAGAATTATGGTTGTAAATGTGACTTTAATTCTGCCTTCTTACGTGTAAGAATTGACATTAATAGAAAAAATGTACTGCAAAGTAATAAAGGGAATATAAAAAATATTGTTCTTTACTTTTAACTAAACATCTAAAGAATTTTCAGAAGACCATCAAAAGACAGTTCTGAAAGGCAAAATTAATTCCAGATTTCCATTCGTCTTTTTGAAGAAGCAGCTGAGTTTTTTAAAGTCTAGGAGAAAGTGTGTAATAAAAATACATGTTCTTTCCCAAACTCAGCTCTGAAAAAAGCACATGCCATTTTTCCTTAAAATTTCTTACTAGAAATACTACAAGAAGTAAGAACACTGCCTTAGCAATTATCCATAAAGACATCAGGATAATTTACCAGGGAGTGTCGTGGTTTAGCTGAACCCAGGACAGGAAGGAAACTGTAATGCATGATGGAAGATGCAGTCCAGCTATGAGTCCAGTTTGCCAAGAGTAATGAAAACATGCAGAATCCCAATCTCATGTCCCATTAGGCATCCACACAGCTATTGAACACAGATGAATCTCACATCAGAGGCTAATCTTTCTCAATTTGTTAATCCAAAGTACTCCGCAGATACCTGCTATCTTATCAACAAACTGATTTTCCAGGTGGAATATTGAAAAGTAGAAACTCAAATTTCCATTAAATCACACGCATTATTATTAACAGTCTTTGTCCTAGTTTCAAATTCATATTATAGTAAAACCAGATAAAATTAAAAAACTTATCTATAATCTATACTACCAGAAGATCAGAACCAGGTACTGCATTTTACCACAGATAATATGCTTCTGTACAAATTTAATGTATGCACATATGCATATTTTTAATCCATTCATGAATTCAAATTTTTATAATCTTGTTTTATCAATGCCTGTGTTATAATGCAGGTCAATAGTTATGAACCTAATAGCCATATTGGTACAAAATAAGTATTTTTTCAGATCACAATTTGTTTAACTTTTAAATCCATTTTGAAGCCATGGGACAGCAGTTACTACAAAGTTATGCATTAAAATGTTTTCTTTAAAACACATGTAAATAAAAATGAAGTCTCTAGGATCTTTGAGGGCCAAAATTGTGAGGAATGTTTTTTTTTTCATTATATTACTTTGTATTTTATTTACTAACAAAAACACCTTAAGATTTACGGAGAAGACAAAGAAAAATTGTAATATCCTCTCAGCTATGCACCTCTATACAAAGTCACAGATAGAAGCATACAAATTTCTTTCTAAATTAATATCAGTGAGGTATATTAAAAACGGACTCAGTTCTGTTCATTCAAGCCTGTCCTGAAATTGTGCAAGTGAACATATATTTCATCAGAAAAAGCACTGCTTAATGGCTTTGTTTAATTAAAATAGAAAATAAAAGAACTGAGACAGGATAACTTTACACCAGCTTAAAGGATTACTGAGGATCCATTTTATACTTTGACAAAGCCAGATGAAATTTAATATTTCAAAAATATTCGGTGATATAATCAATTTTACTAACTCTGGAATAATTTTGAGAATCTGCTAGTAACGAATATTAAATTAAAACCTTAATGCTCAACTGACATAATCTCTGTCTGCAAAGTTGTAATATGAAGCCTGCAGATTACAGGGAGTATTTTCTGTAAAAACATAAATTAAGGATAGGATATTCCAAAAATAGCAACTAGTCCAATGCTGTATGTCCATCAAGGGGGAGAACAGTTTATAAAAAGTCTTCCTCTATAAATTCCTTTGCTAGCTATGGTAGCTATAATAAAGGAAGAGTTCCTGTGAAATGCCCAAGGTCAGGCTTTGGTTAAGAGCTTCATTATCTTTAAAAGGAGATACACTTTCTCTTTAGGGAGGTGAGACCTGAGAGCAACGTTTTTGTTGCAGAACAGAAAGGAGTTGTATTTTTCTTAACTGGACTGTTCATTGACAAAAGACTGCTACTTAGACAAAGAAGTAACCACAGAGGACAGTGTACTCGTAAGGAAACCGCAATCAGAATGTATTGATGTTGCATCCTACCTTGTACACAATGATAGGAATATCAATGACAATATAGATAAGGTCTCCTAGAGCCAGACTTGCTATCAGTGCATTCGGGCCATTCCTCATACACTTGTTCTGGTAAATGATCCTCAGCAGAGTTGCATTCCCAACCATTCCAACGATGAAAATAGCACAAGATACCACCGTGTTTATGTATTTAAAAGTTTCAGCAATCTTCGTCTGCTGGGAGCATTTGACAGTTTGGTTGGACACCAGGGGCTGTCTGGTGGTGAGGAGTATGCTGGATTCAATCACTGAGAAAGTGGAAAGGTGGTGTCCCAAGTCACTCCGATTGGCAGCATATCTGTCAGAGCTGTCACTGAGGACAAATCCTGGAACCAGCAGCAGCAAGAAAACTCTTAAACACAAGGCTTCCATCCTGAAGTCCCAAAAAAGCAAGTTCAGTGAGACAGTGGGGATTCAGTGTTTCAGTGAGGTACTTTCTCACCTGAAGAGAGAATCAATATGCAAAAACAAAAAAGAAGAAAGAAACACAGAATCAATACAACAGGCAGACTAGCACACCCTGATTCTCACTTAAGAAGCATATTTGAATGTACAGTCTGCAGCATGTATGTATAAACACCTGTTTATAACTACTGAGCTACTCTGAAATCTAGACTACCCACATTAACTGTCTGACAAAAGGCAAACACAAAAACTTCCAGAAGTAATTGACAGCTTACACAAATTAGAACCCACAAAACCTGTTAGCTTGAGACAGAATTTGTATGTGAATGGGAAAAATACAGTGGATAAAAGTTCTGGTTTAAAATACAGTCTTGCAAGAAAAGTGTACCAGCAAAGATAGACCTTGGAGACTGATGAATGATATTTTACTTAAAAGTTACTGGTTTTCCTTTGAAAATGGAACAGTACTGCATTAATAATTAAAGACAGTATATTTGTTAATTTTCTGAGTATTTTGATATATACAAAGATGAGGCTTTGTATTATTTTGCTCTGACTTTATACTTACCTGGATTTCAAATGAAGACTGAAAATACATATATTTCAAATCAAATTTTGGACCAGATCCGAAGTCCCTAGATATTAGGAGGAAAACTCACAGCTTCAGGATAGAACTCTGGCCAGGAAAAGCCCTTCAAACTGTATGTGTCATTTGGTTCCTGGATATCATTGCAACTCACTAGCAAAGTTCAATACTAGCCATGGCGAATATAATGATAAATATTTAAGCTCTTTTAGAGATAAAAAATACTTGGTTTAGTATTCTAAGCAACAAGTCATAACTTTTCCAGACAGGAAAAGAAACATCACAGCATTCTGTCCTAGTAAGCCTGTGTGTATTCACCAGAGCTGGGTCCCTGCCACAGGGGGTACAGATACATCTCCAGTGGGACCAAAGAAGCCACTCAAATCCATTTCCTTCAAGCCTCAGCTTAATTTAAGATAAAAGATTATTTTACATGGCTTGTATCTGCAAAACAAGACTAAGTGCTGCCATGTTGTCAGAAGAGTAAAGTATTTATAACTTTCTGATTTCTAGGGATTCACACAAAGGATTTGGCAGATCCTTTTAAATAAATGAATCCTTGTTTCATTCCCTGTGGGGCTATTAAGTCAGAGTTTATAGCAAGAAATTTACCAGAGAAAGAATGTGGGAGACAATTTACTGATAGGACTTCTGGAGGCAGCCACAGTATAAATATTTACTACTGTTACCCTCTCCTGTTGTGTGTGGTCTGTAGAAGTGTGTGTGTACCTACATAGAGCAGCAAATGCAGTGTTAACCTGAGTGTTCCTGTCCGGCACGTAGAGTGCTCTCCCTCACAGATCAGGGACCCACACTTACAATCTGTCACACTGGTGTATTTAAGATGAGGATCTGATCAACTGTGAGTTCCTATGCACTCGATTTTAAAGTTTAATGTACTACACAGTAAATCCTTCTTTATGAAATGCCGGTTATGATGGTATCTCAGGGCAGTTAGCAACAGTTTGCATGATCTAAGTGCTTCCACTTCAGGTTCCTAAATCATATCAGAAACAACAGGCACATTTTACTGCAGCTCTTTTCAGGCAAACATTAATACTTTTATTATTTACTATGACAATGGTTTCCCAGTTCACAAATGGAAAAACTGAATTGCTAATGACTTAAATGACTTTTCCAAGTTCATACTTGTCCAAGTAAATGTGATGTAGCTAAGAACAGAACCCACAGAACTATGTTTTAGTGGTTCTATTAGTATCCTCCTTATTTAATAACATTTTCTTGTGAAAATTTGATAAATGTATCGTATGAACATGGTGGTAGCGTGGCGATCATGCAACCAGCATGCCAAGCTGGAAACAAAATGACCAGTTATCGTCTCTTCCCTCTCCCGGAAGAAACTTCTCCATAAGAAGCAAAACTGGAAAATTTCTAATATAATACTTTCTAAGGACATTTTCTTATGGATTCCTGACAGTCCTTCATTGCTCTGTGCACGTTTTCAAAGTACTTGCATTGTTACAGAACATAATATGCAAGCTGCTGGTTGTAAGAAACAGACTAGCATCTGTAATACCTTTTTGTAATAAGGCGGTCTAGTATTCTTCACATGTGATCTGAATACCTGGGTGGGTGTGAAGTTGGTGCGTTCGGGTGGAGGCCACATGCATGATCTCTGCCTGTGCCCCAGCAGCCCTGCAGAAGCAGCCGCAGAAGCAGAGGGCAAAACTCGCTCAAAACCCGCTCGGGGTATCGAGCCGGAAGAATTCCCGTGCCGAGGTTCACGAGTAGAGACCGTACTATCGGAAGTTAAACTGTTCGAGGTATTAAGGACGAGCTAAAAGGTTAACAGTGATTAATCTTCCCCAAAGCATCTGAGATGTGAGTAGGAGCAAATAAACTTAAGGAGGGCACGAAAGCACCGAGGGGAATACCGCCGGCAGGACATTTCTCCGGCTGTGAGCGCGCTTTGCTCTCGGGGTCACCGCCTCCTGTTTCTGCCTCTGTCACAAAAGAAACCATTCCCCACTTGTAACGCTATCACAGATCAATCCCAACGTGCATGGGCAAACCAGTGCTACCTTCCTGCAGCCTGTGCAGAGCGTCTGACAAGATCGAGGGAACTATTTAACTTTAATAGTTATCACTAATAGTTATCCCAAACTGCCTTATGCCTGTCTCTTGCTCTCCCACTCCCACTCAGGCATACAGAGGTGCAACCATCGTCACCTAATGGTTACGTGAATCGTTGTGGAGAAGCGCTGGGAGCGCCCCGCGGCTCCGCGCCGGGCTTTCCCTGGAAAGGGCTGAAGCCCG